AGTCTCTGAAGCCCTAGGGAGTTGTTCTGCTTTGTCCTGTAGGGGCTCTAGTGGGAATCAACTTGGTGGCTGTGGGTGGCGGTGTGCTGGCTTAAGCTGGGTGTTTCTCTCTCCGGCTTCCCCTCCCTGAGGGCTGAGCCTTCGTTTCCTGATTTTCTGCCTCCCTGGTAGCACTCAAATAGCCTGTCCCTAGCTATTTGGAAGTTGAGAGTCTTGAAGCAATTTTAGATCTGTAATAAAGAAGCAAACCTCAGTTCGTGGCTTGAAGGAATTTTGTCTGGCTTGTTGTCAGTCAGGTTTCCATGTGGTTTTAAAAGTGGGGTTTTTGTTTTTGTTTTATCCAGGAAACTAATGATAGATGCTAGGAGATTTGTTGGATGTGCCCCAGTTAGATTTAATACTTGAGGGCTTAAAGGGAAATGACTTTCTTGTATAAAAACAGTTTTTTCATGGTACTGTATTGCAGGAAATGGCTAGAGAGGCTGGTGAGGGTCTGTCAGAATGTGAGCCACGTTTCCTGAGTAGCCTGTTGCTGCTGAACAACAAGAGAGACGGAGGAACCTGTACACGTGGAGGAGAGACGCAGTGGGTGTCTGCATGCCAGAGGCATCTGTGGATCTCCACCTGCTCCTCGCCTCTCTGTTCTGGCCTCCTTCCAGGACCTGAGGGCCCAGGCCCAGCATCCCTACACTTACTGATTCAGCAGATGTCTGACACTCAGCTAGATGCTAGAAAGATGGAGATATCTTAAGAGTTTGTTTATGGAGAAGATAGGCAATAACTAGTAACTTGAGCCTCTTGAACCTGCAGAGAACAGTTTTCCTCAGCTTAGAGTCCTTGACCCCTCACTCCATCCCCTTGGTTGGCAAAGGTGTCTTCCCCATGATCTCCTGCCAGTCTTGCTTCACCTACTCTGGTCTCTGACCTAGTGCTCAACACACAATTGAAACTTCTGGTTTGATTGACCTGTATTTCACACTAGATTGTTTTCTGGGCGGGTCCCCAACTCCAGGTGTGTGATCAATGCTCAGTAAACATTGGTTGTATGAAATGGTGGTGTGGCTGACACTTGGAAGAATTTCATGCAGTGGAATTCCCAGAGATCCTCTGGTGGATGGTCTCCTTAGCTTGGGGACCCGTGTGCACATGTCCTTAAATCCCCCCAGGTTGCACCCACGGCAGTAGGGGGTTGCCCCTGCTGATAGCCAGCGCTGGTTTGATCTTCGGATCTCTTACTTGCTATCAGCCTGTGGAGTAACTTTCCAGATTACCAGATCCCCCCCGATCCAGGGAACCTGCCAATTTCAGTGTTGATGGTTTCCCATCATGGTGCCTTGGTATCCATTGAGGTCCTGGTGTGGCATTGTAGGGTGAGCACTGGACTGCTGACCAGCAGCTACTCTCCAGAAACCCTGTACAACAGGGGTAAGGAACGTCTGGCCCACAGGCCGAATGAGGCCCTCAAAATCATTTGATCTGGCCCTGCCAAAGCAACTGTATAGGGTTTTTGAGGCGAGGTTGGTAAATCAAGTTGTTGTTGAGTGCTGTTGAGTCGGTTCCCACTCATAGCAACCCTGTGTAGGATTTTGCAGTTCAAACTGACCTTGCAGTCCAGTGCACAAACCCGCATGTTATTGTTGTTGTTAAGTATCATTGAGTCAATTCTGACTCATAGCGACTCTGAATAGGGTTTCTGAGGAGCAGTTGGTGAGCTTGAACTGCTGACCTTGCAGTCCAACACATTAGTATATAGTTCCACGTTGTTGTTGTTGTTGACTGCCATCAAGCCGGTTCTGACCCATAGTGACCCTGTATAGGGTTTCCAAGGAGTGACTGGTGAGTTTGAACCACTGACATTGTGATTCAAACCAACTTTGCAGTCCAGTGCATTAACCCACAGCGCCACACGAGGACTCCGTTAAGTGCATTGGGGTGAGTTAATTAAATGTTTGACCAATTAAAGCAGGGTAATTTTTAAATTGATAAATTTGCAAGGCCCATGCTTGATGTTGTAAATTTTGGCAGAAAAAAAGTTTCCCCACTCCTGTTATGTTGTTAAATGTTGTTTAGTTGGTTCTGGCTCATAGCAACCCTGTATAGGATTTCTAAGGAGAACCTGGTGGGTTTGAACTTCTGACCTTGTGATCCCCAGTCCAGTGCTGATCCTGGAGTCTCTCCCCGTGCTATTCAGGTTCGCTATGAGGTGGAACTGACTTGATGGCACAACAACAACAGCATCCTTTTGGGAGCAGCCATCTAGTTTATGTTTGGGGATCACCCCCCATTTTTGTACCTTTTTTCCTTCTTAGTGTATATACAGTGAAATGTATTTTGCTGGTATAGTGTACGGGTTGGATAAATGCGTGGAATTGGGTCTCCACCACCACTGCCACACTACAGAACAGTTTCATCACCTACAAATTCTCTTGTGTTGCCCATGTAGTCAAGCCCTTAACTCCTGTGTGAACGCACCCCCAGACCCTGGCAACACTGATTTGTTTCCTCTCCTATGATGTTACCTTTTCAAAAGACCACATCCATGACATCGTAGTATATACTGGTCTGCCTTTCATTTAGCAAAGTGCATTTAGTATTCCTCTACAGTGTGTGAATCCATAGTTTACTACTGTTTGTTGCTGAATAGTATTGTATTGGTGTGGCGCTATGGGTTAATACACTGAACTGCAAGGTTGTTTTGATCCACCAGGTCAGCAATTCAAGCTCACCTGTCGCTCCTTGGAAACCCTATACAAGGTTGCTATGGGTTGGAATTGACTCGACAGCACTTCACAACAACAACAAGTATTATGTTGCATGGGTATTGCACGATTGATTTAGCCATTCACCAGATGAGAAAATGTGGGTTATTTTTTTCAGTTTTGGTCCGTCATGAATAAAGCCTCTCTACATATCAGCAAAAAGAAATGGTTAATGTTCAACCATTTCAAGAGATACCATATGAACAAGAGCCAATGATAATCAGAGAGGAAGTCCAAAGGGCATTGAAAGAAGTGGCAAAGAACAAGGCACCAGGAATTGATGGAATAAAAATTGAAATCTTTCAAGAAAGTGAGGCAGCACAAGAAGCACTCACTCATCTCTGCCAAGAAATTTGGAAGACAACT